AACAGACGCTGTATTTGTGCTGTGTTTTCCCATCAGTTTTACCTCGTTCAATTCATTAAATGCTTTGGAGTCGGATGTTCACCCTGGCTCTGAAGGTGTATTGAATGCGAGATTATCTACTAGGATAGTGGTGCAACGCAGCGCACAGCGAGGCCGAGATAATCACACTCCACTCACTGTGTAGAACAGGGGTATCCCACACACTCGCTCGCACACTCGCTCGCACACTCGCTCACACACTCACTCACACACTCACTCACTCACACACTCACTCACACACTCACTCACTCACACACTCACTCACTCACACACTCGCTCACTCACACACTCACACCCACACTCACTCACACACTCACTCTCACACTCCCACAATTACTCTCATATTCACATCCTCACACACACACTCACCCACTCACTCACTCACACACTCACTCACACACTCACTGTGTAGAACAGGGGTATCCCACACACTCACTCACACACTCACTCACTCACACACTCACTCACACACTCACTCACACACTCACTCACTGTGTAGAACAGGGGTATCCCACACACTCACACACTCACTCACTCACACACTCACACACTCACTCACTCACACACTCACACACTCACTCACTCACACACTCACTCACTCACACACTCACACCCACACTCACACACTCACTCTCACACTCCCACAATCACTCTCACACTCACATCCACACTCACACACACACTCACCCACTCACTCCCACACTTACTCACACTCACTGTATAGAACAGGGGTAGCTCACTCACTCACACACACTGTGTAGAACAGGAGTATTCCACACACACACTCCCACGCTCACTGTTCTGCCTCAGGGCAGGTGTGCGGGTGTGTGTACACAGGAATTTCCTGTTTGGATGTTGAGTTTGGCCACGTGACCAGGAAGTGACGATTTGACATCCTCTAAGCCACGAGGCAGGGTATCAGCCATTACACAGAATACAAAATGGAGGCACAAATAGCGTCTCAGTGAAGATAGGTGCATCTGTTCATTGTGGGGCTTTAAGAAGCATTGTCTGTAAGTTCGTTTATGTTCTTATAATACTGGGAATGCTGTTATAATGTTAGAATGTTGGTTATGATGCTGTAAATGCCTTTATAATGCTGTTACATTTTTATGATAAATATGAGGCCTAGTTAACAACGAAGCCTGCCACTTGCCTTATTGTGAATGTTACTTGCAATCGAATAAGTCGAGTCAGACTTGTATCCAAGTAACTATATTGCCATCTTGAGAGCAAGGATGACGACATTTCCCATCCACAGTTCAGTGTTATGTGCAGTGCTGTACATTTAGGCTGCAGTATGGTGATTACACGATGTGCCCTTATTTAACACAGCAGCTTATTCTCTTGTGTAGCTATTCAGTGCTAATGTAGGTGCCTGGTTCATCCTGGTTCTATTGTTGAGTTTCATGTTATCTAAGACAATGTTTTGATGCTGTAGTATTCATTAATTGTATTGATATTTACAAGTATTAACAGATGCTGTATTTGTGCTGTGTTTTCCCATCATTTTTACCTCGTTCAATTCATTAAATACGTTTTGAGTCGGATGTTCACCCTGGCTCTGAAGGTGTATTGAATGCGAGGTTGATTAATCGGATAGTGGTGCAACGCAGCGCACAGCGAGGCCGAGATAATCACACTCCACTCACTGTGTAGAACAGGGGTAGCTCACTCACTCACTCACACTCACTCACTCACACCAACACTCACACACTCACTCTCACACACTCACTACCAAACTCACTCACACTGACTGTGTAGAACAGGGGTAGCCCACACACTCACTCACAATCACACCAACACTCACACCCACCCACACTCACTCACACACACCCACACTCACTCATACACTCACTCTCTCACACACTCACTCACTCCCACACTCACTCACACTCACTGTGTAGAACAGGGGTAGCCCACACACTCACTCCCACACTTACACACACTCACTGTATAGAACAGGAGTATTCCACACACGCTCACTCCCACACAGAGATGCGCCCGACCTGGGAGTTGAACCCAGGCACCCTCATTGCCCCTGGCACCTCACGAGGAGGAGACGCGGACACCCCTCGCGATTAGAGCCACAGTCGTCTTCAAATATTCTTAGGTTTTTTCGCTAAAGTCACGTAGGTAAAAAATTAAAATTAATAAAAGTAAAATAAAAATAATATTTATATTTTTAATTTTACTTTAATGAATTTTTATTTTAATTTTTTACCTAAGTGACTTTACCGAAAAAACCGAAGAATATGAATCCTTGCGGCCACGAAAGCTTCAAATCCAGAGTCGTCTTCACATAATTCATTCGTCACAAAAGTCGACGATGGAACAATCTTCAACAAATCTGCGCCCGGTCATTATTTTTTGTTTATTCTATTTTAACTTACAAGTAATGTAAAACGTACACCTCGAGATATATATATTACATAAATATAATTCATATGTACTCTTTGGTTCTTTCGGTAAAGTCACGTGGGTCTAAAGTGAATTAAATCACGACGTTTCGGGTGCAACACCAGCATCCATCATCAGGTGGTAAAGCCCGAAACGTTGTAATTAATTTTATTTCCTACCCACGTGACTTTACCCAAAGAACCAAAGAGTATGGATTTCTGCAGTCACGAAAGCTTCAAATCAAGATAGAATTCACATGCTGATAATCGATTTGTTTTTGTTAAAGCGTTACATTGGGTTCACCGAAAGCTGCTGACCTGCGATAATATTCACAGCGATCTACCCACATTAGGAAGCCTCTTTGTAGCCATGATTCACTTTCATGTCATCAGAGCTGGCACACGTATTTCTTTAGAAGGTACAAACTACACTCTACACTACACTATACACTGCACTATACACTACACTACTATACACTGCACTATACACTACTATACACTACACTACTATAGATTATACTATACACTACACTATATACTACACTATACACTCCATACTACACTATACACTACAATACACTCCACTATACACTATACTACTATACACTACACTATTCTCTACACTATACACTACACTACTATACATTACACTATACACTATACTACTATACACTACACTATTATACATTACACTATACACTACACTACTATACACTACACTACTATACACTACACTACTATGCACTACACTATTATACATTACACTATACACTACACTACTATACACTACACTATACACTACACTACTATACAATACACTATACACTACACTATACACTGCACTATACACTACACTACTATACACTGCACTACTATACACTGCACTATACACTACTATACACTACATTACTATACACTGCACTATACACTACACTATACACTGCACTATACACTACACTACTATACACTACATTACTATACACTACACTACTATACACTACACTATACACTACTATACACTACACTACTATACACTACACTATACACTACACTATACACTACACTATACACTACAATACACTATACACTACACTACTATACAATACACTATACACTACACTACTATACACTACACTATACACTACACTATACAATACACTATACACTACACTACTATACACTACACTATACACTACACTATACACTACACGGACTCTCTCTCTCTCTGTAGACCCCGCTAGCTCTCACACCGCTCGCCTGTCCGCACCTCCACCTCCGACCTCGCCCGTGACCCCCAGGGTCGACCCCGCCGGGCAGGACGGGGCGTCGAGGGCGAGGTCCCCGTGACTTCTCTTCAACCTCTTGGCAGCGTCGCCTCCGTACCGACTCAACCCGACTGCCTCGCGTCGCCCCCCCTCCTGGTGTCACCCTCCTGGTGTCCACCTCCTGGTGTCCACCTCCTGGTGTCACCCTCCTGGTGTCACCCTCCTGGTGTCCACCTCCTGGTGTCCACCTGGTGTCCACCTCCTGGTGTCCACCTCCTCGTCAAGCCGGCGTCTTCCCCGACGCCTCTCGCAGGCGCTCTCTCTCTCTCTCTCGGCCCCCTATCGCCACCATCTCTCGCCTCCGTGGCGCCTACCCCCTCGCGCGTTTGCATTCGCAGCCAGCCAATCACCGCCTCTGTCCTGTCGTCTCTCTGTGAGCTGTCACCCAGGCAACCCACCTACACCTGCTCGTCACCATTCGCCACCAAGTAGCAGTGACGTCACCACGACGCTTGTGCCAGGCCATGTGCACCTTGAGGCCACGTGAAGATGTTGAATGCCCGCTGGCAGGAGGTCACGGGGCAGACCCAGCAGGTGCCACGGGTCGACTGACCGAGATGACCGAGATGACTGGCTGATGCACCACCTGTACCCCCTACTGTACCAACTTGCTGTGCTTTAGCCACCCGGCGCTCCGCTCGTTGTTGTGAGCGTCGCTCCTCCGTCCTCCGTTGTTGTTGGAGGACGACTGCCTCCAACTGCCCAGTAGCGTCCTTCACGAGCCTCCTCCACAGAGGCCGATCTTGACACCGCTGGTACCGGTCATCGGCAAGTCCACTCAGCTCCACGTCCTCCTGAACCACATCACTCAATCTCTTCTCTAGCCCGTGTACACACACACGTGTACAAAGACAAAGACCTCCCCATGTAGCCTTAACCGACTGTCGTGGCAAGTGCTGTTAGCGAGCACCTATGAAGGCCGGAACGGCACACGAGGGGGTGGATGGCCAGCACCACGCCCCACCGCCTTTGTCTCCCCAGTGGCGATGTTTACACACCGCACCAGGTACTCATTTGAGGCTGAGTCGACCTAGGGGAGGCCCAGGACCGGTTCAGATAATCGTCATTGGTATTGGCCGTGAGCGGGAATCGAACTCGGCTCGCCAGGTTCATAGCGCAGCGCGCTAACCGCTACACCACCACTCCCCACACACACACACGTACACACACACGCACACACACACACGTACACACACACACGTATACACACACACACGTACACGAGGGTACGCCTCCTTCACAAGACGACGGTGACGTTGACGCGCGTGAGCAGCGCTCCGGGGAGATTGACGCTCAGGGAGCCTTGAAGCGTCTTCATCTGCAAGAGAGACACAGAGAGTCACAGAGACACAGAGAGACAGAGAGAGAGACAGAGAGACACAGAGAGACACAGAGAGTCACACAGAGAGACATAGACACAGAGGCACAGAGAGACACAGAGAGACACAGAGACACATAGACACAGAGAGACACAGAGAGACACAGAGACACATAGACACAGAGAGACACAGAGAGACACAGAGAGACAGAGACACAGAGAGACAGAGAGACACAGAGAGACAGAGAGAGGTCACGTTGGAGGACGTTGGCGAACACCACCACCATCACCACCACCATCACCACCACCACCATCACCACCACCATCACCACCACTACCACCACCATCACCACCACCACCATCACCACCACCATCACCACCACTACCACCACCATCACCACCTCCGCCCACCCCAGCGAGAGACGCTGCAGCAGGAGGAGGCAGCCTCACCAGGATTGTGACCTCACCAGGATGGTGACCTCACCAGGATTGTGACCTCACCAAGATTGTGATCTCACCAAGATTGTGATCTCACCAGGATGGTGATCTCACCAGGATTGTGATCTCACCAGGATTGTGACCTCACCAGGATTGTGATCTCACCAGGATTGTGATCTGCATCTTGGCATCCGACAGGGAGACATTTGCATCGGCCTCGAACCGCATTTGGACGTAGAACTTCCTGACTGAGGAACGAGACAGCAGAAGGTTGCGTGATTGTTGATGCTGGCAGTGTAAACTCTTTGGTTCTTTCCGTAAAGTCACGTGGGTAGAAAATAAACGAAATTAAATCACGACGTTTCGGGCGCAACACAAGCGTCCGTCATCAGGTGGGACAACCACAGCAAGAAACAATTGCTGAAGTGGGACAACAAGGGCTGCTAGTAAACACATTCCTGCTGCGGAGGGAGCTGGTAGGAACGTTGTTGGGTTGCTCGGTCAATGGCCTGCAGGGTCAACGGCGGCGTGGTGTATTCCGCAAATATGGCCGACTGTGAGGGCGGGCACAAGCCGGCGTGAGTAGGTTAAACGTTGAGTTTTATAAGGGCACCACGGGGTGACTAGCCCCTCCCCACCCAGTCCCACCCCTCCCACCCCCACCTAGCCCCTCCCTCCCCACCCAGCCCCTCCTGCATGACGGACGGACGGACACAATAATCCCCTGTGGGCTGGTGTAACCAGGAGGTTCCTACCAGTATAACAAGAGGCTATATAGGTAAGAGAGGGGGGGGGGGGAGCCAGGGAGCAGAGACAAAGAGGGTGGGGGTAGGGGGAGTGGAGTGCTACAAGCTCAAACTTGCAGCATTCCGAGACCAAGGTGCTCTGCAAACCTTCGGGCTACTTTCAAAGGTTTCTTCATGAAGCCGTCCAGATATATAAACACAGACGTAACTTCAACCGGGAAGATGGATTCAGATTGAGCAATCATTGGAAGGATGTTATTCACCAGGTACAACCTTCACTGCTTCATGGTGTTGACTTCATCTTCCGCATCTGCAGTTTCTTCAGCCTCCTACCCCCAGGCCCGCTCACTTCCCAGCCGCGGCTTTTTGTCGAGATCGTGTCGGAGCCTGTAGCGCTCCACTCCCCCTACCCCCACCCTCTTTGTCTCTCCTCCCTGGCTCTTCCCCCCTCTCTTACCTGTATAGCCTCTTGTTATACTGGTAGGAACCTCCTGGTTACACCAGCCCACAAGGGATTATTGTGTCCGTCCGTCCGTCGTGCAGGGAGGGGCTGGGTGGGGAGGGTGGGGAGGGGCTGGGTGGGGAGGGTGGGGGGTGAGAGGGGGGGGGGCTGGGTGGGGAGGGGCTGGTCACCCCGTGGTGCCCTTATAAAACTCAACGTTTAACCTACTCACGATGTTGAGGTTGGTGATGTGGTTGATGGTGGTGTTGTTGATGAGAGGGGTGTTGTCGTGGTTGTTGTTGATGCTGATGAGGGTGTTGGCGAGGCTGGTTCTCGTGATGATGCCACGGTCAGTTGTGGACTTGCATGAAGCAACGCTGACGATGGTTGTGATGATGATAGTTGTGATGACGATGTTGGTTGTGATGATGACGGTTGTGATGATGATGGTTGTGTTGATGATGGTTGTGTTGATGACGGTTGTGATGATGATGGTTGTGTTGATGACGGTTGTGTTGATGACGGTTGTGATGATGATGGTTGTGATGATGATGGTTGTGATGACGATGTTGGTTGTGATGATGACGGTTGTGATGATGATGGTTGTGATGATGATGGTTGTGATAATGATGGTTGTGATGATGATGTTGGTGATGATGATGGTTGTGATGATGATGGTTGTGATGACGATGTTGGTTGTGATGATGATGGTTGTGATGATGATGGTTGTGATGATGATGGTTGTGATGATGATGGTTGTGATGACGATGTTGGTTGTGATGACGATGTTGGTTGTGATGATGATGGTGGTGATGATGATAGTTGTGATGACGATGGTTGTGGTGATGATGATGGTTGTGATGATGATGGTTGTGATGATGATGGTTGTGATGATGATGTTGGTGATGGTGACGACGACGTTGATGATGAGTGGGATGATAATGATGTTGATGATGATGGTGGTGATGATGATGTTGATGATGATGGTTCGGATGATGATGGTTGTGATGACGATGTTGATGTTGATGATGGTTGTGATGACGATGATGATGATAGTTTGGATGATGACGACGTTGAAGATGATGATGTTGATGATGATCGTTGGGATGATGTTGATGATGATGATGTTGATGATGATGTTGATGATGATCGTTGGGATGATGTTGATGATAATGATGTTGATGATAATGATGTTGATGATAATGATGTTGATGATAATGATGTTGATGATTGATATGATGTTGTTGATGACGATGTTGATGATGATTGAGATGATGAAGTTGATGATGATGACAATGTTGATGATGACTGAGATGACGATGTTGATGCAGACGGAGATACGAGCGTGGTGGTGCATGCCGCTGATGCAACCGTTGTATCACCTTGCGCCAAAGCTGTTGCTGTCTGCCCAGCTGTTGCGGGTGGTCCAGATGTTGTTGTCGATAGAGCTGCTGTTGTTGCTGTTGTTGTTGTTGCTGTTGTTGTTTCGTTGGCTCCAGCTCTGGCTGTCGATGCTCCGGTGACGGCGGCGGCTCTGGTTGTGCGGGCAACCGCTGTCGTGGTCGCAGCGAATGTTGGTGGGAGCGGAGCTGTCGGTGTCTGGGTCGTGTTCCAGACGGGGTATGATGGTGACGTTCTCGCTGAAGCAGTTTGGGGTTGGGGTGTTGGTGGTGAGGGTGACGTCGTTGGAGGCGATGATGGAGATGTTTGTGGTGATGTGGGTTGGGGTTGGGGTGTTGGTGGTGAGGGTGACGTCGTTGGAGGCGATGATGGAGATGTTTGTGTTGATGTGATTTGGGGTTGGGGTGTTGATGGGAAGGGAGTCGTTGTTGGAGGTGATATTATTGTAGGTGGTGTTGTCGTAGGTGTTGTTGTTGTTGTTGTAGGTGTTGTTGTTGTTGTTGTAGGTGTTGTTGTTGTAGGTGGTGTTGTTGTTGTTGTAGGGGGTGTTGATGTAGGTGGTGTTGTTGTTGTTGTAGGTGGTGTTGTTGTAGGGGGTGTTGTTGTTGTTGAAGGTGGTGTTGTTGTAGGGGGTGTTGTTGTTGTTGAAGGTGGTGGTGTTGTTGTAGGTGGTGTTGTTGTAGGTGTTGTTGTTGTAGGTGGTGTTGTAGGTGTTGTTGTTGTAGGTGTAGTTGTTGTAGGTGTTGTTGTTGAAGGTGTAGTTGTTGTAGGTGGTGTTGTAGGTGGTGTTGTAGGTGGTGTTGTAGGTGTTGTTGTTGTAGGTGTAGTTGTTGTAGGTGGTGTTGTAGGTGTTGTTGTTGTAGGTGTAGTTGTTGTAGGTGGTGTTGTAGGTGTTGTTGTTGTAGGTGTTGTTGTTGTAGGTGTAGTTGTTGTAGGTGTTGTTGTTGTAGGTGGTGTTGTAGGTGTTGTTGTTGTAGGTGTTGTTGTTGAAGGTGGTGTTGTTGTAGGTGGTGTTGTAGGTGTTGTTGTTGTAGGTGTTTGTTGTTGTAGGTGTAGTTGTTGTAGGTGTTGTTGTTGTAGGTGGTGGTGTTGTTGAAGGTGTTGTTGTAAGTGGTAGTGTTGTTGTAGGTGGTGTTGTTGTAGGTGTTGTTGTTGTAGGTGTTGTTGTTGTTGTTGTAGGTGGTGTTGTGGAAGGTGGTGGTGTTGTTGTAGGTGATGGTGTTGTAGGTGTTGTTGTAGGTGGTGTTGTTGTTGTAGGTGATGGTGTTGTTGGAGCTGCTGTTAATGGTGGAGCTGGTTTTGTTGTTGGAGCTGCTGTTAATGGTGGAGCTGGTTTTGTTGTTGGAGCTGCTGTTAATGGTGGAGCTGGTGTTGTTGGAGCTGCTGTTATTGGAGCTGCTGTTGATGGAGCTGCTGTTGTTGGAGCTGCTGTTGTTGGAGCTGCTGTTGATGGAGCTGCTGTTGTTGTTGGAGCTGCTGTTGATGGAGATGCTGTTGTTGGAGCTGCTGTTGTTGTTGGAGCTGCTGTTGATGGAGCTGCTGTTGTTGGAGCTGCTGTTGATGGAGATGCTGTTGATGGAGCTGCTGTTGTTGTTGGAGCTGCTGTTGATGGAGATGCTGTTGATGGAGCTGCTGTTGTTGTTGGAGCTGCTGTTGTTGGAGCTGCTGTTGTTGGAGCTGCTGTTGTTGTTGGAGCTGCTGTTGTTGGAGATGCTGTTTTTGTTGGAGCTGCTGTTGTTGTTGGAGCTGCTGTTGTTGGAGCTGCTGTTGTTGGAGCTGCTGTTGTTGGAGCTGCTGTTGTTGGAGCTGCTGTTGTTGGACCTGCTGTTGTTGTAGCTGCTGTTGTTGTAGCTGCTGTTGTTGGAGCTGCTGTTGTTGTAGCTGCTGTTGTTGTAGCTGCTGTTGTTGTAGCTGCTGTTGTTGGAGCTGCTGTTGTTGGAGCTGCTGTTGTTGGATCTGCTGTTGTTGGACCTGCTGTTGTTGGAGCTGCTGTTGATGGAGCTGCTGTTGTTTGAGCTGCTGTTGTTGGACCTGCTGTTGTTTGAGCTGCTGTTGTTGGAGCTGCTGTTGTTGGACCTGCTGTTGTTGAAGCTGCTGTTGTTGGAGCTGCTGTTGTTGTAGCTGCTGTTGTTGTAGCTGCTGTTGTTGGAGCTGCTGTTGTTGTAGCTGCTGTTGTTGTAGCTGCTGTTGTTGGAGCTGCTGTTGTTGGAGCTGCTGTTGTTGTAGCTGCTGTTGTTGTAGCTGCTGTTGTTGGAGCTGCTGTTGTTGGACCTGCTGTTGTTGGAGCTGCTGTTGTTGTAGCTGCTGTTGTTGTAGCTGCTGTTGTTGTAGCTGCTGTTGTTGGAGCTGCTGTTGTTGGAGCTGCTGTTGTTGGAGCTGATGTTGTTTGAACTGCTGTTGTTGGAGCTGCTGTTGTTGGAGCTGCTGTTGTTGGAGATGCTGTTGTTGTAGCTGCTGTTGTTGTAGCTGCTGTTGTTGTAGCTGCTGTTGTTGGAGCTGCTGTTGTTGGAGCTGCTGTTGTTGTAGCTGCTGTTGTTGGAGCTGCTGTTGTTGGAGCTGCTGTTGTTGGAGATGCTGTTGTTGGAGATGCTGTTGTTGGAGCTGCTGTTGTTGGAGCTGCTGTTGTTGGAGCTGATGTTGTTTGAACTGCTGTTGTTGGAGATGCTGTTGTTGCAGCTGCTGTTGTTGGAGCTGCTGTTGTTGGAGATGCTGTTGTTGGAGATGCTGTTGTTGCAGCTGCTGTTGTTGGAGATGCTGTTGTTGCAGCTGCTGTTGTTGGACCTGGGGTTGTTGGAGCTGCTGTTGTTGGAGCTGCTGTTGATGGAGCTGCTGTTGTTGAAGCTGCTGTTGTTGGAGCTGGGGTTGTTGGAGCTGCTGTTGTTGGAGCTGCTGTTGTTTGAGCTGCTGTTGTTGGAGCTGCTGTTGTTGGAGCTGCTGTTGTTGGAGCTGCTGTTGTTGGAGATGCTGTTGTTGGAGATGCTGTTGGAGCTGCTGTTGTTGGAGCTGCTGTTGTTGGAGCTGCTGTTGTTGGAGATGCTGTTGTTGGAGCTGCTGTTGATGGAGCTGCTGTTGTTGAGCTGCTGTTGTTGGAGATGCTGTTGTTGGAGCTGCTGTTGTTGGAGCTGCTGTTGTTGGAGCTGCTGTTGTTGGAGCTGCTGTTGATGGAGCTGCTGTTGTTGGAGCTGGGGTTGTTGGAGCTGCTGTTGTTGGAGCTGCTGTTGTTGGAGCTGGGGTTGTTGGAGATGCTGTTGTTGGAGCTGCTGTTGTTGGAGCTGGGGTTGTTGGAGCTGCTGTTGTTGGAGCTGCTGTTGTTTGAGCTGTTGTTGTTGGAGCTGGGGTTGTTGGAGCTGCTGTTGTTTGAGCTGTTGTTGTTGGAGCTGCTGTTGTTGGAGCTGCTGTTGTTTTGAGCTGCTGTTGTTGGAGCTGCTGTTGTTGGAGCTGCTGTTGTTGGAGCTGCTGTTGTTGGAGCTGCTGTTGTTGAAGCTGCTGTTGTTGGAGCTGCTGTTGTTGGAGCTGCTGTTGTTGGAGCTGCTGTTGTTGGAGCTGCTGTTGTTGGAGCTGCTGTTGTTGAAGCTGCTGTTGTTGGAGCTGCTGTTGTTTGAGCTGCTGTTGTTGGACCTGGGGTTGTTGGAGCTGCTGTTGTTTGAGCTGCTGTTGTTGAAGCTGCTGTTGTTGGAGCTGCTGTTGATGGAGCTGCTGTTGTTGGAGCTGCTGTTGTTGGAGCTGCTGTTGTTTGAGCTGCTGTTGTTGAAGCTGCTGTTGTTGGAGCTGCTGTTGTTTGAGCTGCTGTTGTTGAAGCTGCTGTTGTTGGAGCTGCTGTTGATGGAGCTGCTGTTGTTGGAGCTGCTGTTGTTGGAGCTGCTGTTGTTTGAGCTGCTGTTGTTGAAGCTGCTGTTGTTGGACCTGCTGTTGTTGGAGCTGCTGTTGTTGGACCTGCTGTTGTTGGAGCTGCTGTTGTTGTAGCTGCTGTTGTTGGGGCTGCTGTTGTTGTAGCTGCTGTTGTTGGAGCTGCTGTTGTTGGAGCTGCTGTTGTTGGAGCTGCTGTTGGAGCTGCTGTTGTTGGAGCTGCTGTTGTTGTAGCTGCTGTTGTTGGAGCTGCTGTTGTTGGAGTTGCTGTTGTTGGAGCTGCTGTTGTTGGACCTGCTGTTGTTGGACCTGCTGTTGTTGGAGCTGCTGTTGTTGGAGCTGCTGTTGAACCTGGAGTTGTTGGAGCTGCTGTTGTTGGAGCTGCTGTTGTTGGAGCTGCTGTTGGAGCTGCTGTTGTTGAACCTGGAGTTGTTGGAGCTGCTGTTGTTGGAGCTGCTGTTGTTGGAGCTGCTGTTGTTTGACCTGCTGTTGATGGAGCTGCTGTTGTTGGAGCTGCTGTTGTTGGAGCTGCTGTTGTTGGAGCTGCTGTTGTTGGAGCTGCTGTTGATGGAGCTGCTGTTGTTGGAGATGCTGTTGTTGGAGCTGCTGTTGTTGAAACTGCTGTTGTTGGAGCTGCTGTTGTTGGAGCTGCTGTTGTTGGAGATGCTGTTGTTGGACCTGGAGTTGTTGGAGCTGCTGTTGTTGGAGCTGCTGTTGTTGGAGCTGCTGTTGTTGGAGATGCTGTTGTTGGAGATGCTGTTGTTGGACCTGGAGTTGTTGGAGCTGCTGTTGTTGGAGCTGCTGTTGTTGGAGCTGCTGTTGTTGGAGATGCTGTTGTTGGACCTGGAGTTGTTGGAGCTGCTGTTGTTGGAGCTGCTGTTGTTGGAGCTGCTGTTGTTGGAGCTGCTGTTGTTGGAGATGCTGTTGTTGGACCTGGAGTTGTTGGAGCTGCTGTTGTTGGAGCTGCTGTTGTTGGAGCTGCTGTTGTTGAAACTGCTGTTGTTGGAGCTGCTGTTGTTGGAGCTGCTGTTGTTGGAGCTGCTGTTGTTGGAGCTGCTGTTGTTGGAGCTGCTGTTGTTGGAGCTGCTGTTGTTGGAGATGCTGTTGTTGGAGATGCTGTTGTTGGACCTGGAGTTGTTGGAGCTGCTGTTGTTGGAGCTGCTGTTGTTGGAGCTGCTGTTGTAGGAGCTGCTGTTGTAGGAGCTGCTGTTGTAGGAGCTGTTGTTGTTGGAGCTGCTGTTGTTGTAGGAGCTGCTGTTGTAGGAGCTGCTGTTGTAGGAGCTGCTGTTGTAGGAGCTGCTGTTGTTGGAGCTGCTGTTGTTGGAGCTGCTGTTGTTGGAGCTGCTGTTGTTGGAGATGCTGTTGTTGGACCTGGGGTTGTTGGAGCTGCTGTTGTTGGAGCTGCTGTTGTTGGAGCTGCTGTTGTTGGAGATGCTGTTGTTGGAGCTGCTGTTGTTGGAGATGCTGTTGTTGGAGCTGCTGTTGTTGGAGATGCTGTTGTTGGAGATGCTGTTGTTGGAGCTGCTGTTGATGGAGCTGCTGTTGTTGGAGCTGCTGTTGTTGGAGATGCTGTTGTTGGAGCTGCTGTTGTTGGAGATGCTTGTTGGAGATGCTGTTGTTGGACCTGGAGTTGTTGGAGCTGCTGTTGTTGGAGCTGCTGTTGATGGAGCTGCTGTTGTTGGAGCTGCTGTTGTTGGAGCTGCTGTTGTTGGAGCTGCTGTTATTGGAGATGCTGTTGTTGGAGCTGCTGTTGTTGGAGCTGCTGTTGTTGGAGCTGCTGTTGTTGGAGCTGCTGTTGTTTGAGCTGGGGTTGTTGGAGCTGCTGTTGTTGGAGCTGCTGTTGTTGGAGCTGCTGTTGTTGGAGATGCTGTTGTTGGACCTGCTGTTGTTGGAGCTGCTGTTGATGGAGATGCTGTTGTTGGAGCTGCTGTTGTTGGAGATGCTGTTGTTGGACCTGCTGTTGTTGGAGCTGCTGTTGATGGAGCTGCTGTTGTTGGAGCTGCTGTTGTTGGAGATGCTGTTGTTGGAGCTGGGGTTGTTGGAGCTGCTGTTGTTGGAGCTGCTGTTGTTGGAGCTGCTGTTATTGGAGATGCTGTTGTTGGAGCTGCTGTTGTTGGAGCTGCTGTTGTTGGAGCTGCTGTTGTTGGAGCTGGGGTTGTTGGAGCTGCTGTTGTTGGAGCTGCTGTTGTTGGAGCTGCTGTTGTTTGAGCTGGGGTTGTTGGAGCTGCTGTTGTTGGAGCTGCTGTTGTTGGAGCTGCTGTTGTTGGAGCTGCTGTTGTTGGAGCTGCTGTTGTTGGAGCTGCTGTTGTTGGAGATGCTGTTGATGGAGATGCTGTTGTTGAAGCTGCTGTTGTTGGACCTGGAGTTGTTGTAGCTGCTGTTGTTGGAGCTGCTGTTGTTGGAGCTGCTGTTGTTGGAGATGCTGTTGTTGGAGCTGCTGTTGTTGGAGCTGCTGTTGTTGGAGCTGCTGTTGTTGGAGCTGCTGTTGTTGGAGCTGGAGTTGTTGTAGCTGCTGTTGTTGGAGCTGCTGTTGTTGGAGCTGCTGTTGTTGGAGATGCTGTTGTTGGAGCTGCTGTTGTTGGACCTGGAGTTGTTGTAGCTGCTGTTGTTGGAGATGCTGTTGTTGGAGCTGCTGTTGTTGTAGCTGCTGTTGATGGAGCTGCTGTTGTTGGACCTGGAGTTGTTGGAGCTGCTGTTGTTGGAGCTGCTGTTGTTGGAGCTGCTGTTGTTGGAGATGCTGTTGATGGAGATGCTGTTGTTGTAGCTGCTGTTGATGGAGCTGCTGTTGTTGGAGCTGCTGTTGTTGGAGCTGCTGTTGTTGTAGCTGCTGTTGATGGAGCTGCTGTTGTTGGAGCTGCTGTTGTTGGAGCTGCTGTTGTTGGAGCTGCTGTTGTAGGAGCTGCTGTTGTTGGAGCTGCTGTTGTTGGAGCTGCTGTTGTTGGACCTGCTGTTGTTGGAGCTGCTGTTGTTGGAGCTGCTGTTGTTGGAGCTGCTGTTGTTGGAGATGCTGTTGATGGAGATGCTGTTGTTGAAGCTGCTGTTGTTGGAGCTGCTGTTGTTGGACCTGCTGTTGTTGGAGCTGCTGTTGTTGAAGCTGGAGTTGGTGGAGCGGCTGTTGTTGGATCTGCTGTTGTTGGAGCTGGAGTTGGTGGAGCGGCTGTTGTTGGATCTGCTGTTGTTGGATCTGCTGTTGTTGGAGCTGCTGTTGTTGGAGCTGGAGTTGGTGGAGCGGCTGTTGTTGGATCTGCTGTTGTTGGATCTGCTGTTGTTGGAGCTGCTGTTGTTGGAGCTGGAGTTGGTGGAGCGGCTGTTGTTGGATCTGCTGTTGTTGGAGCTGCTGTTGATGGAGCTGCTGTTGTTGGAGCTGGAGTTGGTGGAGCGGCTGTTGTTGGATCTGCTGTTGTTGGATCTGCTGTTGTTGGAGCTGCTGTTGTTGGAGCTGGAGTTGGTGGAGCGGCTGTTGTTGGATCTGCTGTTGATGGAGCTGCTGTTGTTGGAGCTGGAGTTGGTGGAGCGGCTGTTGTTGGATCTGCTGTTGTTGGATCTGCTGTTGTTGGAGCTGCTGTTGTTGGAGCTGGAGTTGGTGGAGCGGCTGTTGTTGGAGCTTGTTGGAGCTGCTGTTGTTGGAGCTGGAGTTGGTGGAGCGGCTGTTGTTGGATCTGCTGTTGTTGGAGCTGCTGTTGTTGGAGCTGCTGTTGTTGGAGCTGGAGTTGGTGGAGCGGCTGTTGTTGGATCTGCTGTTGTTGGATCTGCTGTTGTTGGATCTGCTGTTGTTGGATCTGCTGTTGTTGGATCTGCTGTTGTTGGAGCTGCTGTTGTTGGATCTGCTGTTGTTGGATCTGCTGTTGTTGGAGCTGCTGTTGATGGAGCTGCTGTTGTTGGAGCTGCTGTTGTTGGAGCTGCTGTTGTTGGAGCTGTTGTTGTTGGAGCTGCTGTTGTTGGAGCTGCTGTTGTTGAAGCTGCTGTTGTTGGACCAGGTGTTGTTGGAGCTGCTGTTGTTGGAGCTGCTGTTGTTGGAGCTGTTGTTGTTGGAGCTGCTGTTGTTGGAGCTGCTGTTGTTGAAGCTGCTGTTGTTGGACCTGCTGTTGTTGGAGCTGCTGTTGTTGGACCAGGTGTTGTTGGAACTGCTGTTGTTGGAGCTGCTGTTGTTGGAGCTGCTGTTGTTGGAGCTGCTGTTGTTGGAGCTGCTGTTGTTGGAGCTGCTGTTGTTGAAGCTGCTGTTGTTGGAGCTGCTGTTGTTGGAGCTGCTGTTGTTGAAGCTGCTGTTGTTGGAGCTGCTGTTGTTGGAGCTGCTGTTGTTGGAGCTGCTGTTGTTGGAGCTGTTGTTGTTGGAGCTGCTGTTGATGGAGCTGCTGTTGTTGGAGCTGCTGTTGTTGGAGCTGCTGTTGTTGTAGCTGCTGTTGTTGGAGCTGCTGTTGTTGGAGCTGCTGTTGTTGGAGCTGCTGTTGTTGGACCTGCTGTTGTTGGAGCTGCTGTTGATGGAGCTGCTGTTGTTGGAGCTGCTGTTGTTGGACCTGCTGTTGTTGGAGCTGCTGTTGTTGGAGCTGCTGTTGTTGGACCTGCTGTTGTTGGAGCTGCTGTTGTTGGAGCTGCTGTTGTTGGAGCTGCTGTTGTACCTGCTGTTGTTGGACCTGCTGTTGTTGGAGCTGCTGTTGTTTGGAGCTGCTGTTGTTGGACCTGCTGTTGTTGGAGCTGCTGTTGTTGGAGCTGCTGTTGTTGGAGCTGCTGTTGTTGGAGCTGCTGTTGTTGGAGCTGCTGTTGTTGGAGCTGCTGTTGTTGGAGCTGCTGTTGTTGAAGCTGCTGTTGTTGGAGCTGCGTTGTTGGAGCTGCTGTTGTTGGAGCTGCTGTTGTTGGAGCTGCTGTTGTTGAACCTGGAGTTGTTGGAGCTGCTGTTGTTGGAGCTGCTGTTGTTGAACCTGGAGTTGTTGGAGCTGCTGTTGTTGGAGCTGCTGTTGTTGAACCTGGAGTTGTTGGAGCTGCTGTTGTTGGAACTCTGTTGTTTGGAGCTGCTGTTGTTCGAGCTGCTGTTGTTGGAGCTGCTGTTGGCTGGAGCTGCTGTTGTTGGAGCTGCTGTGTTGGAGCTGCTGTTGTTTGGAGCTGCTGTTGTTGGAGCTGCTGTTGTTGGAGCTGCTGTTGTTGGAGCTGCTGTTGTTGGAGCTGCTGTTGTTGGAGCTGCTGTGTTGGAGCTGCTGTTGTTGGAGCTGCTGTTGTTGGAGCTGCTTTGTTGGAGCTGCTGTTGTTGGAGCTGCTGTTTGTTGGAGCTGCTGTTGTTGGAGCTGCTGTTGTTGGAGCTGCTGTTGTTGAAGCTGCTGTTGTTGGAGCTGCTGTTGTTGAGCTGCTGTTGTTGGAGCTGCTGTTGTTGAGCTGCTGTTGTTGGAACTGCTGTTGTTGGAAGCTGCCTGTTGTTGGAGCTGCTGTTTGTGGAGCTGCTGTTGTTGGAGCGCTGTTGTTGGAGCTGCTGTTGTTGGAGCTGCTGTTGTTGGAGTTGCTGCTGTTGTGGAGCTGCTGGTTTGTTGGAGCTGCTGTTGTTGAGCTGCGGTTGTTGGAGCTGCTGTTGTTGGAAGCTGCTGTTGTTGGAGCTGCTGTTGTTGGAGCTGCTGTTGTTGAAGCTGCTGTTGTTGGAGCTGCTGTTGTTGGAGCTGCTGTTGTGGAGCTGCTGTTGTTGGAGCTGCTGTTGTTGAAGCTGCTGTTGTTGGAGCTGCTGTTGTTGGACCTGCTGTTGTTGAGCTGCTGTTTGTTGAGACTGCTGTTGTTGGAGCTGCTGTTGTTGGAGCTGCTGTTGTTGGAGCTGCTGTGTTGTTGGAGCTGTTGTTGAAGCTGCTGTTGTTGGAGCTGCTGTTGTTGGAGCTGGTGTTGGAGCTGCTGTTGTTGGAGATGCTGTTGTGGAGCTGCTGTTGTTGGAGCTGCTGTTGTTGGAGCTGCTGTTGTTGGAGCTGCTGTTGTTGGAGCTGCTGTTGTTGAGGCTGTTGTTGGAGCTGCTGTTGGTTGGAGCTGCTGTTGTTGGAGCTGCTGTTGTTGGAGCTGCTGTGTTGGAGCTGCTGTTGTTGAGGCTGTTGTTGGAGCTGCTGTTGTGGGGGCTGTTGTGGAGCTGCTGTTGTTGGAGCTGTTGTTGGACTGCTGTTGTTGGAGGCTGTTGTTGGAGCTGCTGTTGTTGGAGCTGCTGTTGTGGACTGCTGTTGTTGGAGCTGCTGTTGTTGGATGCTGTTGTTGGAGCTGCTGTTGTTGGAGCTGCTGTTGTTGAGCTGGAGCTGCTGTTGTTGGAACCTGTGTTGTTGGAGCTGATGTTGTTGGAGCTGCTGTTGTTGGAGCTGTTGTTGGAGCTGCTGTTGTTGGAGAGCTGCTGGTTGAACTGGAGTTGTTGGAGCTGATGTGTTTTGGAGCTGCTGTTGTTGGAGCTGCTGTTGTTGGAGCTGCTGTTGTTGGAGTGCTGTTGTTGAACCTGGAGTTTGTGTTGGAGCTGAGGTTTGTTGTTGGAGCGGCTGTTGTTGGAGCTGCTGTTGTTGGAGCTGCTGTTGTTGGAGCTGCTGTTGTTGAATTGGAGTTGTTGGAGTGATGTTGTTTGGAGCTGCTGTTGTTGGAGCTGCTGTTGTTGGAGCTGTTGTGTTGGAGCTGCTGTTGCTGGAGTTGCTTGTGGAGCTTGTTGTTGGAAGTGCTGTTGAGTTGCTGAGTTGTTGGAGCTGCTGTTGTTGGAGCTGCTGTTGTTGGAGCTGCTGTTGTTGACTGCTGTTGGTTGGAGGCTGTGTTTGTTGTGAGCTGCTGTGTGGAGTTGCTGTGTTGATGGTTGCTTGGAGCTGCTGTTGTTGGAGCTGCTGTTGTTGGAGCTGCTGTTGTTGGAGCTGCTGTTGTTGGAGCTGCTGTTGTTGGAGCTGCTGTTGTTGGAGCTGCTGTTGTTGGAGCTGCTGTTGTTGAACCTGGAGTTGCTGGAGCTGCTGTTGTTGGAGCTGCTGTTGTTGGAGTTGCTGTTGTTGGAGCTGCTGTTGTTGGAGCTGCTGTTGTTGGACCTGGGGTTGTTGGAGCTGCTGTTGTTGGAGCTGCTGTTGTTGGAGCTGCTGTTGTTGGAGCTGCTGTTGTTGGAGCTGCTGTTGTTGGAGCTGCTGTTGTTGGAGCTGCTGTTGTTGGAGCTGCTGTTGTTGTAGCTGCTGTTGTTGGAGCTGCTGTTGTTGGAGCTGCTGTTGTTGGAGCTGCTGTTGTTGGAGTGCTGTTGTTGGAGCTGCTGTTGTTGGACCTGCTGTTGATGGAGCTGCTGTTGTTGAAGCTGCTGTTGTTTGACCAGGTGTTGTTGGAACTGCTGTTGTTGGAGCTGCTGTTGTTGGAGCTGCTGTTGTTGAAGCTGCTGTTGTTGTAGCTGCTGTTGTTGGAGCTGCTGTTGTTGGAGCTGCTGTTGTTGAAGCTGCTGTTGTTTGACCAGGTGTTGTTGGAACTGCTGTTGTTGGAGCTGCTGTTGTTGGAGCTGCTGTTGTTGGAGCTGCTGTTGTTGTAGCTGCTGTTGTTGGAGCTGCTGTTGTTGGAGCTGCTGTTGTTGAAGCTGCTGTTGTTGGAGCTGCTGTTGTTGGAACTGCTGTTGTTGAAGCTGCTGTTGTTGGAGCTGCTGTTGTTGGAGCTGCTGTTGTTGAAGCTGCTGTTGTTGTAGCTGCTGTTGTTGTAGCTGCTGTTGTTGGAGCTGCTGTTGTTGGAGCTGGGGTTGTTGGAGCTGCTGTTGTTGTAGCTGCTGTTGTTGTAGCTGCTGTTGTTTGGAGCTGCTGTTGTTGGAGCTGCTGGTTGTTGAAGCTGCTGTTGTTGTAGCTGCTGTTGTTGTAGCTGCTGTTGTTGGAGCTGCTGTTGTTGGAGCTGGGGTTGTTGGAGCTGCTGTTGTTGTAGCTGCTGTTGTTGTAGCTGCTGTTGTTGGAGCTGCTGTTGTTGTAGCTGCTGTGTTGGAGCTGCTGTTGGTGGACCTGCTGTTGTTGGAGCTGCTGTTGTTGGAAGCTGCTGTTGTTGTAGCTGCTGTTGTTGGAGCTGCTGTTGTTGGACCTGCTGTTGTTGGAGCTGCTGTTGTTGAAGCTGCTGTTGTTGGAGCTGCTGTTGATGGAGCTGCTGTTGATGGACCTGCTGTTGTTGGAGATGCTGTTGTTGGAAGATGCTGTTGTTGGAGGCTGTGATGGAGCTGCTGTTTGGAGCTGCTGTTGTTGGAGCTGCTGTTGATGGACCTGCTGTTGTTGGAGCTGCTGTTGTTGGACTGCTGTTGTTGAGCTGCTGTTGTTGGAGCTGCTGTTTGGAGCTGCTGTTGTTGGAGCTGCTGTTGTTGGAGCTGCTGTTGTTGGAGCTGCTGTTGTTGGAGCTGCTGTTGTTGGAGCTGCTGTTGTTGAAGCTGCTGTTGTTGGAGCTGCTTGTTGTTGGAGCTGCTTTGTTGGAGCTGCTGTTGTTGGAGCTGCTGTTGTTGGAGCTGCTGTTGTTGGACCTGCTGTTGTTGGAGCTGCTGTTGTTGGAGCTGCTGTTGTTGGACCTGCTGTGTTGGAGCTGCTGTTGTTGGAGCTGCTGTTGTTGGACCTGCTGTTGTTGGACCTGCTGTTGTTGGACCTGCTGTTGTTGGAGCTGCTGTTGTTGGAGCTGCTGTTGTTGAACCTGGAGTTGTTGGAGCTGCTGTTGTTGGAACTGCTGTTGTTGGAGCTGCTGTTGTTCGAGCTGCTGTTGTTGGAGCTGCTGTTGCTGGAGCTGCTGTTGTTGGAGCTGCTGTTGTTGGAGTTGCTGTTGTTGAACCTGGAGTTGTTGGAGCTGCTGTTGTTGGAGCTGCTGTTGATGTTTGACCTGGGGCTGTTGGAGCTGCTGTTGTTGGATTTGCTGTTGTTGGACCTGGTGCTGTTGGAGCTATTGTTGCTGCAGCTGTTGTTGATGTGTTGGTAGGAGTGTTATAAGTTGCTGCGACTTGTCCCTGCGTTGTCGCCAGCGATGGCATCATGTTTGGTTGTGTTGATGTTGTTGATGCTGCTACTCCTGCAGTGTTTGGTGGTGGCGTGGTGTTTGTAGTTGTTGTGGAAAGCACTGCTGATGTTGTTGTTGTTGTTGTCGTCCGTGGTGTTGTTTTCACTACGGATGGAGTCGCTGGCACTGTTGCTGATGATCTGGTCGTTGAGATTCCTGTAAGACATTGAAAGTAAATCACCACTATTCACACCATTCACTATACCACTATTCACTACACCACTATACACTCCATTCACTACAGCACTGTTAACAATTGCCAATATATACACAGACACTTATGTAAATATACACCACTTATATCAGAGTAAATATACACAAACGCACTTATATGTGTTTTTTTTTATATAAGAGCGTGTGTATAAGTGCGTAAAATGTTTATATATGCGTGTGTATATACAAGGGTATGTATGTGTAAATATATATGTGTGTATATATATGTGTGTGTATATATATGTGTATATATATATCCGGCAAAACAACCCCCTACCTTCTCGCGGTGCCGGACAGGCAACTCTGTCGTGGACAGTGCTGTGGGGGGAGGGCCAATTCCGATTGGCCCTCTCCCCTCATGGCGTCTGTGACCACCACAGTGGCTAAACGGGGGCTCTGGATGGGTGCGAGGGGCTGGTAACCCCTCCACCTTCAATGAATGACCACGAAACCACGACTAAAATATCCAACT